GGATCTCGGCATTCGAGGGGAGTTGAGAGATCGAGGAATCCGGGAGATAAAGTCCGCGCGGCCGGCGCGTGCTGCGGATGCGGCCGCGAGGAAGATGGATGGACCGCGATGCGGCCGGCACTTTGTCCGCGGAGTGACGAGGGAGACGGTCTCGCTCTCCGGAGGCGCGGAGGAGAGGACGTCCCTAACTTCCGAGACCGTGTCGCAAAAAGGAAGGACCTCCGCAAGCTTCTCGGCGTCCGGACAAACCTGCGGGACACGGGGCGATTTACGAGCCGCGGCGTTCCGCTTCTCGGTGGGCGGGTACACGCGTGTGCCCTGGACACGCAATATCCAGAGCGACGTCCCGAGTAAACTCGAATTCCCGACCGACCCCAAAGCTCGCTCCGATTTGAAACTCGTGGAGGGGGATCGCAAGAGTGGAACGAGTGCGCCTCGTCCAGCCGATCGGCCGCTATTTTCGACGGTGCATGTGGCCGCGGACGAAATAAGAAATGGAAGTCCATGTGGGGGCGGCAAGTGGGACGCGCGTTGCCTTGGCCCGTCAAACTTTCGACCGAGTCGCGAAACGGATCACCCTCGGCGGCCTCGAGAGGAACCCTGCCTCCTTCCTTTCTCACCAGCGAGACTCTGGCCCTTTTATTCCGTACGAACGTTATTTGCAGCTGATACTTTGACGTTGCACTTTCACCGCATATGGGCCCCTCTGGTTTAGCAATTCCCCCGAAGGTAGAAAAGTACGGAGGGAAGGCGACGACGACGTGGGGTGTACGGTCAAAGGTAAGGACCGCGAGGCAGAGGGTACTAAACCAAGTTTCATCGTAAAGCTTCGCTATTGCCGGCTGCTCGCCTCGGATTTTCTCGTCCTTTTCCCCGTCCTGTAATCCTGCGAGCCCGACCTCGCGGATCTCGACCAGCTTCCGAGGTCGGCCTTTCCCGACCTCGGTTCGACATGCGTCTAAGGCCCAACTTTTTTCACCGGATTTACGACTAAAGGAGACATCGACCGTAGCGATCAAGACATGAATGAGTACGACGGAGCCCGAGGGCTATTCACTTAAAAATCAATGGAAACGAATTCCTTCTTTGAGAGCCGATTGCCTTTGACCATACGATAGATAATAATGCGATGTTGTAACAAGTAACGTTCGGCCTTAAAATCTCGACAGCGTTTTGGTGATTTCCATCGATTTCCATTTCATTTCCACATGATTTCCTGAGTAAATACCTCCTCGATGGGCCATCGTTCACCGTCGATCCGGGACCCTGACGATGTCCGATTGCCCGCGATAAGGAGGTCCCATTTTTTCAGTTGCAAGTTTAAGGAAATTTCCATGTTTTGTATTTAAACGAGCCGTCTAGGGCTCGGCGACGAGTCCTCGTTCCCGAGGGATTAAGCAGCTGGTGGTGGAGGAGTGGAAAAACGCGAAGGGTATGATCAGCGGCTCTTCGACTATTTTTATTACGGGTGTAACAAACCACGTATCCGATGCGGATTACCGGGGTCTCGATTCGCCGGTGTAAGCATACCCCGCGGGATGCTAATTCCAGGGTGTATCGACGCGGCAAAATCTACATTGTGGCCGTATAGTTGCATTATGAACCCACACTCGACGGCTCGGCAAAAGGAGAACTCTTTCCACGCACAGGAGTGGTCGGTCTCCGAGGCGAAGGATCCCTGGTGGACAAAGAAGCGGACATTGTCCAAGCATCGACATCCCGAAGCTGCTGTGATGGTCCAGGTTCGGTAACCCGATCCTCCTCGAAGAAGCTGCGAGATTTTTGGCCCTGCGAAGCGAAAATCAAAGGCGGTCATGTCGGTCTGCGACAAAATTCGTTTGAATTTTTCTTCTAAAGAAAATAATTATTTCCATATATATATTTGGTTTAGTCGAGTAATCTGTTTTCTCAGGGCAGAGGTAAGGCCGTGGAGAAGAGGAAATAAAATTAGAATAAAATGAGTAGATCTCGATGGAGCGTGGGTAATCCAGCAGATGATTTTTTTGAGGTATGGAGAAGCGGGGAATTTTTGTCTGGCGTCTAAAAGGAGCTTCGATGTACGCCGTGGCGGCGTTAAATGACAGTGCGTGCGTGCACGAAGTCATAAATCATAATCCCCGGTGCGTAACCGAGGAGTGTCGACGTTCGGGTGCCGATTAATTCAATAGCGGTAATCCGCGAGTCGGCCAGATCGGTTCAGGGTAAATTTATCGTATCAGGGTAGCGACTATCGGGGAAGCTGATCGTCACGGGCGTGGTTCTCCCCGTATTTTTCCGAAGAATCGGGACGACGGTGATTCTTCCCGAGCGGGATAAGGATCTCTCCTTAAGGAAGTTTCCTGCGGCCGAGATCGGGCTCCCGATGCTTGGGATAGAATCTTCGATCGGCCAGAGATCGGAGATGGAGAAGATCGAACGTTTCTCATGCAAATCTCGGGCAGAAAAACCGGGGAGAAACTATGCTCGGTAGTCGCCTCGAGGACGGAATCAAAGGACAGGCTCGAGGCGAGGAAAGAAACCGCCCGGGGCAACAAAACGTAACTTTGTCCGAGCGGCAACCGGAGCTGGTAGTGCCCTCTTCGGGAAACCGCAAGTCGATCTGGCTGTTCGCTCGCGCGTTACGCAACCTCGGAGTTCTCTTAGTTTCTTTCCAGGAGGGAAGAGGAGAGAGAAAGAGAGGCAGGGTCGGTCGTCGGCGAGAGGCTCTTCTCGGCCACTCTTTTCTATCCGGTCGAATCGACTCGATTGGCCACCGTTGGCTCCGCTTCGGCGGCGGTCTTCCCGCGAAACGCCTCCGCGATTCAAATAAATAAAATTTCGTCGTACCTCGGAAAAATAAATCATTCCCGCGATCGTAGGAATTCCTTTCCAGGGATTTTCTCTCCGGGGAAATTGTCCTAGGGTCATCCGATGCATCCGCCCCTGGGAGATGACGTTACCGGTCCGTGTCGCAGATCTTGACATCGACTTGACCGAGTGTAGAGTCCGCGGGGAAGACTCGGTCTTCGATCTCCATCTCGAGAGCGCAATTACACCGTAAACGCTCGCTTCACGAGAGACACTTAGCTCGACGACGGAGCCACTTCACCCCGAGATCGCACATGTCCTTTTGCCCAGTAAAAAGGATCCAGCTTTCCACCCAGACGACGCCAGACGAGACGACGCGACGTCAGCCTGAAAGTCGAGAAACGGATATTATCCACAATTCTGCATAGCATTGGGTGACACTTTATTTCCATGATTGCTTATAAAATTCCTAACTATATTACACAGTAGATATTTTTAGACGATTTCGACACGGTAGCTGAATTGGGTCTAGGTTCTACATCGGAAGTTACGCCATGTGCAGTCCCAGTTGCGTTTTCCCAGGATCGGTATATCAGGTTCAGAGGTCTCTACGAACTCGCATGCATAACCGAACGGATCCGAGTTACTTCCGGTCGCAAAGGTGCGAATAATGGTTGAAACATCGTCACTTTGAATATCCTACCGAGAGTCATATTTGCGAATATTTAGGCCATCTCTCGACCCCTTCGAAGTTCCTTACCCTTTGGGTTACCCTGGCCTCTCGCGTGGAATACTTTTTCGGTATCGTTTTAATCTCGAACTTAAACTTTTTAGAGTTTTTTCGACCAAATGACATAACCGCCCAGCAAATGCCACGGAAACTCGGTTCGACTGCAAGAGTGCGCACACGGTTAAAGGTAAGAATTGCAAGTCGAGGGTAGTAAACCAAGTTCCATCGTAAAGCTCCGCAAAGTTATGGCCCGAATACCCTCGCCTGGATTTCCTTTTCCTCCCGTGATCCCGACGTCATAACGACGGTTTCCGTCGGAATTTCAGCTCTCGGCGAGAGATTCCTCCATCGAGAATAAATTAAATGGATAATTGTATTAAAAATAGTTCATCCTGTGGAGTCGCAGGAATTCATACATTTACCAACATTAACCCCATAATCATATTTCACCGTAAATTTGCTTATTTCGTGATGAAATTTCTTAGATGAAAAATCTTTCCACGCGTGGAAGCGGTTTAAGTTCTATTTAAAGGGTCTTTGGCGAACAATGGAGGAAGCGTTGCGCAAGTCTTGACAATGTAGCATACAGTTTTACGAATTCGAATCTTTCAAGCCGACAATGCCAACGCCGTCGACCTTAGACCCTCGAACGAGATCTTAGCTACTCCTCGAACGCTACGGATTGAAAAATGTTATTTTAATACGCGAATGGAAATTTCGCAAAATCTACCGCGGGATAGAACGGCTAAACGTGGGGTTTATTATTAATACATATCGTATCGATATTCGGATGAAATTAATAAATAATAATCGAAAATCAAGGGTCCGAGTGCCCAAATGCATAAATCTGTTCCGGAACGAATCGTTTTTCCGGTCAATGCATTATTACCTCACGCTGACGATCGCACATGCCTACGGAGTGCATAAAACGGGCGTTGAACTTTCATTAAGAATCGTGTTTACTTGGCGTAACAAGTAAGTGCCCAATTAAACTGCATTTGAAACGCAGCGAGTGATAGCACCGCGGTCCATCGTAACGCCGAAAGGAGCGATAATCGACCCTCCTCGATTTTCCGCCTCATCGCGGAAAATCCTCGCCTTTTCGGGGAAAAATCCTCGCCTTTCCGGGGAAAATCCTCCGTCGACCGGGGAAAAATATGAAATTCCGCCGTTCCAGGGGGTGAGAGTCGGGGCTGGAGCGCGGCCGCGGATAGGCCGGCTCGGCTGGCACCCCCGGGGGCGCGGGAGGCTCCACCCCGGGGGCGAGGTGCCCCCCCGTACCTACGGGCCTGGCGAACCTCTCGGCCAATTGCGCGCCAGTCGCCGCTCGGTCGGGGCACGGCCTCGCGGCGGCTGTCACATCGAGCGCGTGGACGCGCGCGCGCGGCCGGATTCAATCGCGACCCGCGCGCCCCCCACCCCGCGCCGCCCGCCGTACGCGGTGGCCGCCGCGCGCCGGCGGCCCTCTCAGTGAGTTACGGACTGCCCGGCGGTGCGCGTCGGACGGTCGTCCCTCTTCGCTCGAGACCCGCTGCCCCTCCCTGCTGTTCCGTGGTCCACGCCGGCGATGCGCGCCAGCCGAGCGGTCGGCGACGCGTAGAAGTTAGGAAAGGTCGGGCGGGCACTGGCGCCCGCGAGGCCCCTCGAGTCGGCACGTGCGCCGCGCGCCTACGGACTCCTGGGACTCTCATCGAGTGCTCGTTCCCCGCCGCGGCAGTGACCCTCGAACCGCCAAGATGAAGATCCCGGCCACGGTGCAGGATGTCGTATTCAAAGTCCCCGGTGAGTCCCGAGTCGAGCCGAGTTTCACGAGGCCAAGGAAATTCCGCTCGACGTTACACCTTATGTATATGTAAACCTCGCCCTGGACCTCCCCCTTCCAAATAAAAACACTGGGTAGATCCTAGAGCGAAGGACATTCTTTATCCAGAAACGGCGTAGATTGCTGAGAGAGGTATTTTCTCGGGAGGCAGAGTGGATTTAACCGTGTGCGCGTGGTATTGGAATTTATCCTTTGCAGCGCAGATGTATGTGGGATAAGGTCGGAACTCCCGATTACGTAACGGGAGACCGAAGTCACGGATCGAGATCCGGAAATTCGGGGGTCGTCGGTTTTTATAACACTTTGGAGAGTCGGACCTCCCGCGAAGAGGCGACTCGTCGCCGGTCGTTTGTTTTGGGAGGTGGCCAGTATTTTCGCCGAGATTTATTCGGTGTTCCTTCCGCGCGTCGCGACGCCGGCGGTTGGCCCGTGGCGGCCGACGGACGCTGCGTCCTGCGGCGAGTTCGGTCGGTGACTCGATTCTTCTGGAAGATGTAGAAAATTAAAATATTTTTACGTTTGGGGTATAGAATGACCCTTTCCTATCTTGATATTGCAGCCCCGCCGAGGGAGAAGAAGCCCATGAGGAACGTGGTTAAGCCACGTGCTCTAAGAGTGGCGAGGAACTCGAACGACTCTCACGTCCCGTTGGAGAAGGTGGAACCGGATCGGAAGTTCCACCAGGTCCTGTTCGATCTGGGCCCGGCCGATTTGATCAGGGTCCTGGCGAGCAGCTTGAAGGGCCAGTACCCGATCGGTTGGTCCGGATACCCAGGAACCGAGGACCAGGAGCCGATCTTCCACCGGCGCCTGGCGCCCCCGCGACAGCCGAGCCTCCAGGAGGTCGCCCTGCACTACTACTGGAAGCTAAGGCAGCCCGTGGTGAACGACTCGGACTCCTTTTGCACAAACTTGAACTCAAACTCGGACACCAAACCGATCAGGAAGCGCGGAACGGCGAGGTGCTCGCGGTGCTTAAATCACGAAGTGAACATGCCGCTGAAGGGTCACAAGCGGTACTGCTTCTACAAGTACTGCATTTGCACAAAATGTCTGTCGACGGCGGAGAGGCAGGTGATCATGGCCGCCGAGACGGCCAAGAGGAGGAACGAGAAGCAGGACAGAGAGAGGGTACTCCTCGACGGAGAGGTTAGCGTCGCGCCACGTTTTATTCTCCTTTCCTTAGTTTTCGACGAACCACCTTTCGGTGGTCCTCTTTGAGAACTCGGTCGCGTTTCCTCGTTCGGCGACTAAGCTAAACCCGGTTGATTTGATTTTGTGCGCAGGTCTATCGGCCGTTCATCCAGTGGAACGCGAAAATCTCCTCCAGCCCATTCAAGTTGGTCAACTTGAACCGCAAATTGTGTGCCCTGAAAAGGACCATGGAAAAGAGGAAAATGAAGACCAAACTCGACAAAATGCCAACTTCTACGGGACACCCCGGGGCAGAGTTGTTGGGGGCGTGTCCGACGTCCGAAGCTCTACGAAAGTCGCAGGATCTGTCTCAGAGTCCCGACTCGCTGGGAGCTCGTTTGCAGGCTCATTCGTCGCTCCCCCAAAGTCCTGGCCCGTTGATCGTGCCTCTGCAGGAACTGTCTCGGATGCAGAGTCCTGGCAACCTGAGCGCCTGTTTGGAGAATCCACCTCAGACCCCGAGTCCGGGCTCGCAGGAGCTGTCGCGGACGCAAAGTCCTGGCACGCTGGGTGCTCCTTTGCAGAGTCCATCTCAGACATCGAGTCCGGTTCCGCAGGATCTGTCGAGGATACAGAGTCCCGACTCGCTGGGCGCTCGTTTGCAGGCGCTTTCGTCTCACCCCCAAAGTCCCGACCCGTTGATCGTGCCTCTGCAGGAACTGTCTCGGACGCAGAGTCCTGGCAAACTGAGCGCTCGCTTGAAGAATCCACCTCAGACCCCGAGTCCGGGCTTGCAGGATTTGTCACGGGCGCAGAGTCCTGGCACGCTGGGCGCTCCTTTGCAGACGTCGAGTCCCGTTCCGCAGGATCTGTCTCGGACGCAAAGCCCTGGATTGCTGCTGGATCCTCTGCAGAATCCTGGCTTGCTGGGCATACCCTTGAAGAACTCGCCTCGGACCCTGAGCCCGGACCCGCAGGACCTGTCCGATGCGCAAAGTCCTGTCGCGCTGCCCTTGCCTCTACATGATCTGTCCCGGACGCAGAGTCCTGGAAAACTTGGCGCTCCATTGCAAGACCAACCTCAGACCCGAAGTCCCGGTCCGCAGGACCTGTTTCGAACGCAAAGTCCTGGATCGCTGCTCGAACCTCTGGAGAACCTGTCCGTGACGCAGAATCCTGCCTTGCTGAATATATGCCTGAAAAGTTCGCTTCGGGCGCAGAGTCCGGACTCGCAGGACCCGTCCGATGCGCAAAGTCCTGTCACGCTGCCCGCACCTCAACAGGACTTGACTCGGACGAAAAGTCCTGGATCGTTGCTCGATCCTCCCCTGAACCTGTCCGTGGCGCAGAATCCTGGATTGGTGCGCATACCGCTGCAGAATTCACCTAGGGCACAGAGCCCGGACTCGCAGGACTCGTCGCATACTCAGAGTCCTGGCTTGCTGGCCGTTCCTCCGCAGGATCCGTCCATGACGAGGAGTCCCTTGATGGGCTCCCCCTTGCAGAATTCATCTCCGGAACGGAACCCAAGCCCACAGGACCCCTCTTCGACGCAAGGTCCTTGCTGGATGCCGACTTCTCCGCAGGGCTCGCCCCGGGCCCCGTGGCCTGGATCGCTCCCTGGACATCTACAAAAGCCCCTTCAGGTGCAGCCTCCCGGATTGCCGATAGATTCCTCGATGAACTCGCCTGAGCCTCCTAACGCCAACTCGCCGCATGCATCTCCGATGGAAGTTGTCCAGACCAACGATCAAGGTACCGAACGTTAAACATATTTTACACTAAACTAAGCGGCGCGACTCGAGTCCTCGCTGGATCTTTGTCGGAATTCAATCGATTAGAGCGTAGCTCTGCATTCTATAGCTTGCAGACCCTGATAACACCAGGGTACTTGCCAATCAAGGACACCTCGAGTAGCGCCGCTCCTTCGGACTCTGTTGTCTATCTCGTTGGCTGTATTTTTTTTTTGTATTGTCTTCTTTTTTTTATCGCCACTGAATTAATTCACGGAATGGACGTTCACCGACGCGAACACGGCTTTCCTCTCCATCGATCGAATCTTCGAGAAAAGAGACACGCTTAGGATTGATTTGCGTCTTTTCCTCGAGTACTATGGAGCGTCGAGTCGTTTCGCTGGAAAACGTTCCGTGCCGCGTTGCTCGGGAACAATGCATTTACACGGCTGGCTTTGTTGCTATTATCGATGCACGCGAGTTACTTGCCTCGATTCCGATTTCCTTCGCGGCTTGCGACTAGGTGGATAGTTTTATACCGAATTTCTTATCCCTTAATCGGAACTTTTTTGGGGTGCGCGTTTATCCTACGGTGGCCTAGAAAAATCAGGGACGGTGATGGGTCCTGGACTGACAAGGTCCTAGAAGACCGAAGAGCGGGAACTCTCGAAATGGATCGGCCTACCTGTTGCGCTCGTATCCTCCTTTCTAACCCCTTTCCACCCAGTTTCCCACCCACCCCTCGAACACGCGGAACGTTCCTTCGTCCCCTCGAACTCTTTCCCTTTCCCTCCCTTATCGCTCCCGAGGGGGGAATTGCGTAAGGTCGGGAACCGACGTCGATGGACGAGACGCGTTATTGAATTTCCCACCGCGAAAAAAGACCCGCTCTCGAAGTGGAACCGAAGGCGTGACCGATCCGATGCACTTGTTGCACTCGAAAATGTCTCTCATACGGCGAGAGAAAAAAAAAAGAAAAATTTCACCGGGATTTCCAAGTCGTTACGATGGAAGTGCATCGCCCAACCGGGGCTGCAGTTCCTTGCGGTCGGTTCTCCATCCCTGAAGCGGTGCAACCAACGGGGACCATTTCTGACCAACTGGTGAACGGCTCGGTCGCATTTTCGAATACTCGTCGCCTCGGCTCTGTTCTTTCTCTTCGGGATTCGCGTGGGAGAGGACGCCGATTAAATGCTGGAAAAAGTAAAAAGGGATACGAAAGCGGGAATAGGGAAACCTTCGTCGCGCGAATGGGCAGCACAAGGCTCGGCATTGACTCGGGCATCGTTTAATGCATTTGTCCGCACGGCGGGGGAAAGTGCATCTCTACTTGCATCTCGATGCGACGAATAGAGAGACCTCGCGAGTCGCGTGCTTCCAAGTCGACGTTATGGCCGGTTTCGGAATAAACGGATCCGCTGTCCGAGTTCGTTCCTTATCGCCCTAGTATATGGGGTCGATCGTAAAATCGTTCGACGAATCGGATCGTTCTTGCACCAAGGAGGAAGAAATCTCATCGAGCCAAAGAAGTATTTCGATAATTCGTAGAATAATTACATTCCACCCGAATAGACTGGAATAAATTCGTTGCGGAAACTATTCGGAATTGTGACAATCCACTCGAGTAAAATAATTAGTCCTCGAATTGGCAGAATATTTCTTTGGTTCGTTGAATTTTTTTTTGCTTTTTTTTTTTCCTCGGTGGATCTTAGAGGGCGAACCCTCGGGGCGTTCGGCCTCTCTTTTCTGGGGTCCTCTCCAGGGACGCGTTTTTTTCGGGACACCCCGTAGATCGGGCTGGGAGAGGCGCACTTATAACGTCGTTCACAATGATCCCAACGAAACCCAAGCCACTCTTTCACTTGACAACCCGGCTGAATGTTAACCCCGGTTTTACGACTCTCCCCATTGGCCGGCCGGCCATTCGAAGCCGGCTAATATAATACCAACTTATAACCGGAGCCGAAACCTAGAAGCTCTCGGCGAGCTCGCGTTTACGAGCGGCCTCGCTTTAAAGAGTTATCGTTATTTTACTCTCTTTCGGTGAAATAGTTGGTTGGCGAGCGCCGTCCGTAATGACGCGACCGGGCGCACCACGTGCGAGGGGGCGCGAGAGCAGATCCTTTCTCGGAATCCTTCGGCGACGTTTCCGAGTTTTCTTTTCTTTTTTTTTTTTATTTCCCCACAGAGTCCAGGGAAAAATCCCCCGGCCCGCTCCTCCTTTCCGACACCCACTAAATTATATCCGCCCGGTTTCGGTCTCCTCCTTCGTCCTCCTACTTTCGTCTTTCATAATTTCAATTTTTTTTTTTTTTCGCCAAGTCCGCATCCTCCCCTTTCATTTACCGCGTTTTTATGGAATAATCTTCGCGAGGTACCGTCGAGTTCGATACATCCAAGCTGGGTCCGAAGGAGTCGGTCGGCAAGGATTCCTGCAGGATTCCGGAGGGTGCCATAAAGTGGCGTCGCGTCAATCGGCACGTGGTCTCGATCCGGATATGCGAAATTAACATGACGGTAACCCTCGGGATCGGCATTAATGGAAAAGCAACGGCTCTCGGTACCGAAGCTTTCCCTTCGTACAGGGGGGACAGGGGGCGAGAGGGGAACGTCGGGTCTGGGCCCGGACCAAGGGTGATTATGGCGTTATATGGGATTGTAAACTCGGCTTTACGAGCTTGCATTTCGAGCCATTGAGTACTGCTTTTAATAACCTATCACTCGTCATTATGCCGACGACTTCGCTCGTCGGATCCCCCCCTTCCTCCCCGCGTCCCTCGGTTTTTTTTTCTCCCGTCGGAGTCGCCTCTTTTTAGCCCCTTCGACGTCGTTTCTCCCGGATGAAGTTTCGAAATTGACAGAAAACCGGGTCGCGAAGCGATCTCTGATTGCGATTCTCATCCGATTCCCACGTGTTTTCGAGGTTTAAAATTCATGATTTCCTGAGCGAGTACCCGGGCTCTCAATTTCTTGGACGATCCGTCGAAACGTCGGGGGGACTCTTTTACGTCGGCATGACGTTGTTGAATTAACTCGGCGTAAACGCTCGTCCCTCGTCACGCCCTCGGTAAATCGAGGAGATGACTTATGCGCCCTGCGCACGCCAGGCCGCCCACTTATCGAATGGCCATCGACATCGATACGGATAACCTCGTTGACCCGAGATCCGACCCCGTCATCCTCGGACGTCTTCATTTTCCCATAGCCCCAGGCAGCGTCGAGCTCCAAAAGCAAATTGCCGCTTAGGGTCCTTAGAGAAATAAAGGAGGAAGGAACTAATCGTTTAATACCGTTCCTTATTCTTTTTTACGGCAACCTCGGCATTGGCGAGGGGCTTCCGTTTTTATGATCTCCTCTCTCTCTCTCATTCTCTTTCTCTCCGTCAGTCGACTTTTCGCGCGATTACCTCGAAATCTCGCCGCGGCCCTTACAACTATCGTAAATCTCTCTCTCGAAGGCCCCGGGGCCCTTTGCCACCGGCCGAACTCACCTGCGTCTCGTGTTTCTTTTTCTTCTCTTTCCCTTTTTTTTTCTTCCCCTCTACTCCCCTTTTCCCTTCCTCGCCCTTTATCGGGCCCGGTCTATGCCAGAGGTCTCGGAGATCGCTTCTTCCGTTACGCACTCGGCCGATCGACGATTAAACCTCCCGATTTACAAGGTGTAAAGGGCGAGGCGAGCCCTTTACGTCGGCTTGCACGCGATTCGGCGATTCGTTTTCCTCCACCTCCTACCCGGGAGCGTCCTTCTCCGGGATTTTTTCGTCGGTGTAAAACGGAGGCACGCCGTTTGGAACGTCGCGTACGGTGGAGGGGGCCTCGTGAGTGGCGTTGGAAATTGGAAAATTAGATTGGAGGTTGCGCGAGACCTTTCGTGGCGGTGGCCGTGGTTGCGCGAGATCGCGTTGCCACATCGAGGTTTCGAGACCTTCGAGGATATCCGAGGATAATCGGAGATATTCTAAGATATTCAGAGATATCCGAAGATATCCGAGGACGGACTTCTCAACGTCGACGGCTCGGGACGAGCACGTTGCGCAATTTTAATTAAGACGTTACTTCCTGCTGAATCCCTCTAAGAGAGACGAAGGCTCGAGATCTCGATTACCGAGGAGAGTTGCGAGCCTCCTATCGAGGGCTGAATTTATTGCAATCGATCGGTCGGTCACGGCAAGCAGCGGGTTGCACTCTCTCGTGCCACGTGCTCGTCGGCATTATACCCTGACGGACAGGAATGCCTCTTCCTGTAGACGAAGTGCCTCCAGGGTCTATATAATCACCAGAGAATGAGATTAGAGTCGCCATTGCTCTCTGGGGAGACGTCGACGCGTTTGGCAAAAAACTTCCTTCCTTTGCTTCTCGTCCGGGATAAACACATTTCCTTTCCGAAGAATTAAAATTCCCGAGTCTCGAGACCTGAGTTAAATATCTTATAAATATTGTGACTTTCGTAGACCTTTCGTCACATCTTAAGATATATAAGTGGAGGTAGGATCGAAACGCGTCGAAATTTCGATTCTCGTCCGGTTAGTCTCTCCTCGCCGACCCAAAAATGTCAAACTCGAGGAAACGCTCCGGTCGTTCGCTCCCGCGGACGCCCTCGCGGTTTTGCATTTATACCCGCCCTCGTTTTCCTCGACTTTATCGCCTCCTCCTCCTCCTTCTCCACCTCCTTGCCGGAGTTTACTCCGCAGTGCTCGCCGAGAGCTCCGATCGACCCGGGGAAATCTCACCGTCGAGACGACCGTCACGTTTCCGTCGTTTCGAGTCCTCTCGGAACCTGCGGACCTAATCGAAACGCAACCGGCTCGACTGGATTTTACGTCCCGGTCGAACCGGGAAACTCGCTATCCTTCCGAGATTACGTCGACGTCTAGGTAAGGCCGGAAATGGTCCAATCGTTCGAAAGATCCGATCGATCCTCCAACTAGCTGGATCTCTCGTCATCCCGCTCGAGATTAATCGTTCACTTGTCTAATTCACGGCCGTAAACCCATTTCATCGTCATTCCCTATAAACGATCCGA